CAGCACATGGTGAAGCGGGGGAAGTTTGCGCTGCAGTACATTCCGACCGCTGAGCAGCCGGCCGACTTCCTCACGAAGGCGCTGCACTATCCGGCCTTCAACCGGTGCTCCGTTGCAATCGGCCAAGTGCGTCTGGCCGACGTGGGCGACGGCGACGACAACGTGCAGCAGTAGGTGCCATGCCCTTTTGCATGGCTGGTGCGGTGGACGACGTGCTGTGTGTTGGGTGCACGTCGACGAGCTGTTCTCCGAGAGGTGCTGCCGTGTGGGCTGGGGGGCCCAAGCGTGAACGCGGCAGGGGAGTGTCAACGGGAGTTGGGTATTGGCCCCGTCCTCGCTTGGGCGGAGCCGACTTCGTGGTCGGGTGTAGGGTGCAGCCGACCTGCAGCAGTGGGCGGGCTGGTCGACGAGGTTGGTCGACCTGCACGGGGAGCCACTGCATGGGCGCCGACTTCGGGAGGGCGCCAACTTCAGGTGGTCGACCTGGAGTGACGTCGACTTGGAGCTGGTCGACCAGGGGATAGTGGTCGACCTGGGGAGGTCGACTGGAGGTGGCTGTCGACTTGGGAGGTCGACCGGCACGTACCAGAGGCAGTGGTCGACCTGGGGAGGTCGACCGGAAGTGGTCGTCGACCTGGGTGGTCGACGGGCACGCACTGGAGCCTCTGGTCGACCTGGTTGCCCGGTCGACCAGGTTACCTGGGTGACGAGGTGCTGCGAAGGCTTGCGAAGGTCGCCCAGGTGGTTTTGGCGAGGACGACCTCGGTGATGGTATCCCGAGGTCGACGTGGTGCATCAGATGCAGTCGTCAGCACGAGGTGGACTTGGTGTGTGCGCTGTGCAGGTGACGAAGCAGTGCACGCCAATCATCTACGAGCACCTGCGAAGCGGGTGCGATGCTGGACTGCAGGAGCAACGCTGGCACGCCGTCGACTTGCGCTGTTGTTACGCCATCGACCTGCAGCGTTGGCAAGCCGCGTCTCTGCACTGCTGGAGCGCGGTCGACCGTGCTGCGCTGGCAGTCGACCTGCTTGCATCCTAGCTCTGATGTAGTTTTTCCTAGCCAACTTCATTGTATCATTGTTGTCAACTTTCTCTAGTGAAACTCTTGCCAAATTGCCTTGTGAACTAGCAAGCAATGTGTGCACTAGGAAAACGACTAAGGACCGAGGAACGCAGAGATCACACGAGCATCCGTGCCTAGCCCGTAGTTTAGCTCCCGTTACTAGTGTTATCTCCGCATCTTATGGCTTTGTAACGTACTTACTCGCAATACCAATTATACGGCTGAATAACTCCCTTACTCCAAATACCATTCATATCGCTAAGTAACGCACTTACTCCTAGTACCACTCATATGGCTAAGTGGCGCATTTACTCTTAGTACCACTCATATGGCTAAATAACTCACTTACCATTAGTACCACCCATATGGCTACTTAATGCAATTACTCCTAGTACGACTCATATTCTTACTCTTAGTACCACCCATATGGCTAATTAACGCACTTACTCTAGTACCACTCATATGGCTGAGTAACGAACCTACTCTTAGTACCACTCACATGGTTATAAAACGCACTTACTCTTAGTACCTCTCAGATAACTAAGTAACGCATCTACTCTTAGTGCCACTCACATGGATGAGTAACGCACTTACTCCTAGTAACACTCGTATGGCTAAATAACGCACTTACTCTTAGTACCACCCATATGGCAATGTAACGCACTTACCCCTAGTTCCAATCATATTGCTAAGTAGCACACTTACTCTCAGCACCACCCATATCGCTAGGTAACACACTTACTCATAGTACTACCCATATGGCTAAGTAACGCACTTACTCTTAGTACCACCCATATCAACTAAACCACTCATCTGGCTAAATATCGCACTTACAGTTAGTACCACCCATATGGCTAAGTAAGACACTTACTCTTACTTCCGTTCACATGGCAAAGTGACGCACTTTTTCTTAGTACCAATCATATCAATCTGTACCGCACCTACTCATAGTACCACTCATATCGGATAAGTAACGCACTTACTCTTAGTACCATTCTTATAGATAAATAACGCACTTACTTTTAGTACCACCCATATGGCTCAATAACGCACCTACTCCTATTTCCACTCAATTAATAGTACACACTTACTCGTAGTACCATTTATATCGCTAAGTAACGCACATACGCTTCGCACCACCCACTCATATCGCTAAGTAACACACTTACTCTTAGGTACCATCCATATCGCCAAGTAACACTTACATTTTCTTAGTACCGCTCATATGTCTAATTTGCGCAGTTACATTTAGTGCCACTCAAATGGCTAAACATCGTACTTACTCTTGGTACCACTCATATGGCTAAGTAACGCACTTACTCTGAGTACACTTTTATGGCTAAGTAACGCACTTACTCTTAATACCACCCATACGCGCCTACTCCTTGTGCCACTTATATGGCTAAGTGACACATTTTTTCTTAGCGCCATCATATCGATCCGTAATGCACCTACTTATAGTACCACTCATATTCGATAAGTAATGCACTTACTCTTAGTACCACCCATATGGCTAAGTAATGCACTTACTCCTAGTACCACTCATATCGCTAAGTAACACACTTACTCTTAGTACCATTCATATCGCTAAGTAATGCGGTTACTCTCAGCACCACCCATATCGCTAAGTAACGCACTTACTCTTAGTACTACTCATATCGCTAAGTAACGCACTTACTCTTAGCACCACTCATATGGCTTAACAACACACTTACACGTAGTACCACCTATATGGCTATTAATTCACTTACTCTTAGTACCACTCATATGGCTAAGCAACGCATTTCCTCTTAGTAGCAATCATATCGCTAAGTAACGCACTTAATCTTAGTACCACTCATATCGGATAAGTAACGCACTTACTGTTAATACCACCCATATGGCTCAGTAACGCACTTACTCCTAGTTCCACTTATATCGTTACGAAACACACTTACTCGTAGTACCATTCATATCACGAAGTAACGCACTTACTCTTTGCACCACCCATTTGTAACGCACATACTCATAGTACCACTCATATGGCTAAGTAACGCACTTACTCTTAGTAACACTCATATGGCTAAACAACACACTTACACATAGTACCGCCCGTATGGCTATTAGCGCACTTACTCCTAGTACCACTCTTATGGCTAGTTACTCTTAGTACCATTCGTCTCGTTAAAAAACACATTTCCTCAAATTACCACTCATATCGCTAAGTAACGCACCTTCTGTTATTATCACTCATATGGCTATGTAACACACTTACCTTTGAACCACTCATATTGCTAAGTAACGCACTTACTCTTAGTACCAACCATATGGGTAAGTAACGAACTTACTCTTAGTACCACTCATATCGCTAAACAACATACTTACACATAGTGTCACCCATATGGCTATGAACGCACTTACTCTTAGTACCACTCATATGGCTTAGTAACGCATCCTCTTAGTACCACTCATATCTCTAAGTAACGCACTTACTCTTAGTATCACTCATATTGGTAAGTAACGCACTTACTCTCAGCACCACTCATAACCAAGTAACGCATTTACTTGTACTGCCTATATGGCTAATAAACGCACTTACTCTTAGTACCACTCATATGGCTATGTAACGCACTTACTTTTAGTACCTCTTCTACTGCTAAATAAACGCACTTACTGTTGGTGTAAGGGCCTAATAAACTCAAGCTATTAGGACTTAATCAAACTTAAAACCTCTCCTCGGGGTCACCTCCAAGGGTCCCTGGGTGCCTGGCACAAGACCAGCCCCTATCCTCGGGTCCGAGTTTGTAGAGAGAGGAGTCAAGAAAGACTTAGCCAAAATAACAAGAGTACCTTGAACGTCGCGCAGCGTGCCGTGCAGACCGTCGATCGGATTAAGCTGAGAATTTGCTATATCGTATCTTGCTCCAAGAGCTTTAAAATAAGCCAAGTTGCCTCGCGAAAAGTTCTGCCATTACGAAGTTATGGCTCGGACAGCGTTTGCCTAGCGTTGGAGTGCTAGCGTACTAGCATTGACTCGGGTAGCATTCCGCCGTCGAACCGCGTAGAAACGAAATTCCAGCGAGGAAGGAATTCGCATGAATCAATTGACTATATTCAGGTACAAACAGAGAAGGAATAAATAGCTATAGCTAGCAAGGGCCTTGGGAATCAACCTGGGAACAACCAGGGATGATCCCAAATAATTCCAAGCAACAGAACCAACCTGGCTGGACAAAACAGCAGGTGGTAGGTTGGAAAACAACCTCTGGTTCTGTTTTTCCAACCTGGGAAAACAACAACCAGGTTCAGGTTCTAAAAACAGAACCTGTTTTGTCTTTGCCCAACCAGCCAAATGCTGGTTCTGCTGGTTTCCCCTAGCCTTGTAGCATGCAGATACAGACAAACAACATCCAACCTTCACCTAAATTGTACCCCTATAGTGCCTGCCCTGCTACACTATAATCAACCAAACAAAACAGTACAATTTCAAGTTGGATAGAACTGAATCTGCGCAATAAATTGAACCGGGCTGCAAAGCTTCCATCTTGGGTTCCTTTGCGAGCTCTTCCTTTCTGCTTGCACTGTTCATAGCGCGTACAATGTTGTGCCGAAGCGCACATTGCGCGAGTACCTGCAAATGCTTCAAGCAAAAATTGCGAAAGCAAACAAATACACGAACACACCATTCACACGCAAATGCACTCGCACACGCATACTCGTACAAACAGACGGCAGGATGTCATGCAAAGTGAATTTGCACCCAACACACTCCCCCTCAGCCTGCCGGCTGCATTCCCATCATTCCATGCTAGTTCATGCTCATTCCACTCATGCGCACACAATGCCAATGAGGCTCATCCGCAAGCCTCTTGGTGAGAAAGTCTGCTGGCTGCTGGTGAGTCTTGATGTAGATCGGATTCACTGTCCCCCTCTTCACCTCCTTACGCAGCCAGTGTCACTTGATACGCATGTGCTTGTTCAGCCCATGAAGCACAGCGTTCCTGGCCATCCCAAGAGCCCCCTTGCTGTCACAAAACAGCGGCGTAGCAACCTTCTGCTCCTGGCCAATCTCCTCTAACAGCCTCCTCAGCCAAATCACCTCCTTCACCCCATGGAACATTGCCATGTACTCTGATTCAACAGAGGAGAGTGCCGTCTCCGTCTGCTTCTTGGACCTCCAACTAACAGGTCCTCCCCCAACTACGCAGATGTATCCTCCCACAGATGAGGAATCCTCCTTCTCAGAAGCCCATGTAGCATCGGTAAAGCAAGTCAGAAACAGCTTGCCTTCTCCAAGCCGCTCCCCCTTCTCCTTCAGCACCTCAACCCCTTTCTGCTTCACTTGTGCAGATGCGGAGTATTGAACTCCAATGCTTGGGTGAGAGTTCAGATACTTCACCACACGCTCAGCTGCATCCACCTGCTCCTCTGATGGATTCTGCACCACCCTAGCCAGCTGCCCAACCGAGAAAGAGATGTCGGGCCTCGTGTGAACTGCTGCATACAAGAGGCTGCCCACCAAGGACTGAAATTGCTGCTGCTCCTCGGCTTCAACCCCTTCATCCTCTGCAGCCTTCACAAGCTTGAAATCTGCTGGCAAGGGAGTAGCAACCTTGCGCTCATTCTCAGTCCCATACTTCTCACCCAGCTCCTTGATGAACTTCTCTTGGTGCAGCTTCAACCACCTGTGATCCAGATCCCTCTCCACGTGCATCCCGAGGTAGTACTTTACCTCCCCAAGGTTCTTGCACTTGAAGTTCTCCATCAGCTGCTGCTGCACTTTCTGGATCTCCTTCTTGTTGCTGCTGAAGAGAAGAATGTCATCCACGTAGACCAGAAACATCACCAGCTCCTCCCCCTCCCCCTTGAGAAAGAGGCTCTCATCACAGCTGCTGGTCCTGAACCCTATCTCCTCTAAAACAGCTGCCAACTTCTGGTACCAGCAGCGTGGCGCCTGCTTCAAGCCGTAGATGGACCTTTTCAGCTTGCACACCCTGCCCGTACCATCCTCATACCCAGGCGGCTGCGTCATGAACACCTCCTCCTCTAAAATCCCGTTGAGGAATGCCGTTGATATATCCATCTGGATAATGAATTTCCCACTAACGGCTGCATCTGCCAACAAGACACGAAGGGTAGGGGGTTTGGCAGTGGGAGCAAAGATCTCATTGAAGTCCCGCTTCTCCTTCTGCATAAATCCCTTAGCCACCAACCTACTCTTGTAGATGGTGACCTGCCCCTTGTCGTCAGTCTTGATCCTTAGCACCCACTTGCATTGTACCGCTTTCTTTCCCTCAGGCAGCACCACTAGTTCCCAAGTCCCATTCTCCAGCAGGCTCTGATACTCAGCATCCCTAGAAGCCAGCCACTTGTCCCTATCTGGTCCAGCTAATGCCTCCTCCATGCTAGCTGGTTCCTCTGATGCAGGGGCAAGAAAACAGTACGCAGGCTCATCCTCCTCATCCGGGTCATTGCCATGAGGTAAAATCAGCAATGCCTCCTCATTCCCAAGCTGTTGCTCTGCTGCATCAGCTCCTGCAGTCAGCTTCATTGTTGCCATGCGGGTGCGTCCTGGCCTAGAGACGGGTGTCTCCCATCCCTTCATTACAACACCCTTTGGCTTCCTCCTTTGTGGTAGCTTAGGCACCTTAGCTTTGCCTTGCTGCTGCTCTCCTCCCTCAGATTCAGCAGCTTCCCTGATGCTACCACTAGTCTCCACATCACCTCCTCCATTAGCACGTGCCTCCTGCACCTTCTCTCCATCACCACCCTCTGCAGCTACCTCCTCTCCCTCCTCCTGCACACTAGGAGTCAGGTCCAGCTGCATGGTGATCTGCTCCATCTCCTGTGATATCTTGGCCTCTGGCTGTTGCTTCCAGCCCCCATACATCAGGCCCTCAACAAACTTCACATCCCTGCTGTCAAACAGCACACCCTTGCGTGGTTCCCACAGCAACCATCCCTTGCTCTCAGCAGCCAGCCCCAAATGCACACACCAGATTGCACTCGCCCCCAACTTACTGCGGTAGGTCTTGGGGACGTGGGCGACTGCCATGCAACCAAATACCCTCAGCATGTCCACCGGCGGCTTCCTCCCAAGCCACCTCTCCAATGGCACCCACGAGTCATCCCCAACCTTGGTGAGTACCCTGTTCCTAGCCACGGTAGCGTGCCGAACAGCATGGGGCCACATCGAGTTGCTCAGCCCAGATTCTATGAGCAGCGCCCTAGCTGTCCCCATGATTGTCCGGTTCGCCCGTTCTGCTACGCCGTTCGACTATGGGGTGTAAGCCGTGGTCAGCTCCCTCTGGATGCTCTGCTTCTTGAGCCATGCCGTCATCTCAGCTCCAAGGAACTCACCACCCCGGTCTGTCCTGATCCGCTTCACCACACACTCCGCTTGCTTCTCCACGAACGGCAGCCAATCGTCCCGAATCGTGGAGGCGGCGTGATCTTTCTGCTTCAGCGGATATGCCCACATCAGCCTGCTCCAGTCATCCACTATGGTTAGGAAATACCGCTCCCCCTTGTGCCCTTGCACCGGCAGCGGCCCCACCAAGTCCATGTGGACCAGCTCCAACGGCTTCTTGCTCCTGCCAGCCACACTATGGAAGGGGAAACGGGTGAACTTTGAGAGCAAACAGATTTCACAGTTTTCATCGGGTGGCTGTCCGTTCAGCTTCAGACCCTTAACGGCTCCATCCTTCTCCAGCTGCTTCAGCAAAGGCATTGCCACATGCCCTAAGCGCCGGTGTGCCGTTGCCCAATCTGTCTCCCCAGATCTGGCCGACACTTTCACACCAACCCCTCCAACGGTGTTGCACTCCCCCTGGGATGCAGACCCCTCTCCAGCCTGCCCCCCACCATGCCACGCCAGGGCCGGCAGCTGCCACATAGATCTGTACACGTCCTTGCTCTCGTGCAGATCCCAAAGCACCCGATTGCCCAGCTTCCCCTTATAAGTGCGTGCCCTATCCGTGTTGGTGTTCACCCCAGCCTTGCCAAGCTTACGGAGGGAGATAAGGTTGGCCTTCAGGTCGGGGACGAGGAGAACGTTGTGCAGCACCACCGGCTTGCCATCCGCTCCCTTAAACGCAGCTCGTCCCGCACCAGCCACCTTCAACATGTGTCCAGAGGCGGAGCACACCTCATTGATCGGTGCAGCGCGTACTTCGTCCAGCAGGTCCTTGCGCGGCGTCATCGTCCAAGCAGCGCCTGTGTCCAACACCCAATAGTCCAGGGGGTGCAGCTCTGCTCCAACTTTGGCAGAGGCGTCTCCTTGCTCCCCCTTGTCTCCCACATGGAAAAATTGGCCCGCGGTGCGCTCCTTCTTCTTCTCCGCACTGCCGTTGCCCTTCGGGTTGTTGTCGGACGAATCAGCGACCATGTTGGCGCCGTTTTTCTGGTTCCTCCGCGCGCCGCCATTCTGGTGACGATTCTGGGGGTCCATCCATCGGGTTTCTTATAGCACAAAAACCAGGGGTGCCCTTCCTTCTCACAATACCAGCAACTCCCTTTCATTTTGCCACCAGCATCCGACTTGCCCCCACGTCCAGATTTCGCACCGCGACCCCAACCGGTACCTCCTTGTTGGTCATTGGAGTCGTCGTCTTTCTTTGCACCGCGTCCAGCACCACCGAAGCCACGTCCTCTGCCACATCGGCTCCTTGCATCCCGTAGCCGCTGCTGCCGTCGTCTCCACCCCTCAGTTGGCGGCGACGGAAGTCCTCCTCCAGAATCTTCGTCCGCACCCACTCGAGCGTCCACAAGCTCTGGTTCTGCGGCAGGCTCAATCCGCTCGTGAATTGAAGCCACGATTCCGGCAGCAGCGACAGCATCTTCAGGCACTTGGTCTGCTCCGGGTAGGTGATTCCCGCGATTGCCAGCTTCGCGTAGAGATCACGCATCTTGTCCAGGATGGGTTGCACCGGCTCTCCCTCGCTCAGGCGCAACGCGGACAGCTCCCTCTCCATCATGAGCGTCGCAGCGACGGAGGTAGGGGCGTGCAGCTCCTTCAACACCGTCCACGCCTTCGGACCGCACTCAACCTCCGGCAGCAGGTGCATGACGTGATGACGCTGGTTCAGCTCCAAACTCTGCGACATCAAGTAGTAGCCAGCCGAGGCGCGCTCGTCCCAATCTTCCTGCAGGGCGGGGTCACTCGGTCTAGGCTCCTCCCCAATCATTAATTTCAGCAATCCAATCTGACGGAAGTAGAGTTGCATTTTCCAGGCCCAATCATCATAGCCCTCACCATTGAACTTCTCGATGGTGAAGTTCTTCAGCACCTCCTTGATCAGCGAGCCCTGGTTTGTTCGCGCTCCCCTTGGCGCCGAAACACCAGAATCTTGGCTGCCGCTACGATCTTGGGCTGAAGATTCACCAGCTCCTGCCGAGGTGTTGCCCGCCATAGCTACCTATAACGAGGATCGCTATAACGCAGGCTCTGATACCAGCTTGTTGGTGTAAGGGCCTAATAAACTCAAGCTATTAGGACTTAATCAAACTTAAAACCTCTCCTCGGGGTCACCTCCAAGGGTCCCTGGGTGCCTGGCACAAGACCAGCCCCTATCCTCGGGTCCGAGTTTGTAGAGAGAGGAGTCAAGAAAGACTTAGCCAAAATAACAAGAGTACCTTGAACGTCGCGCAGCGTGCCGTGCAGACCGTCGATCGGATTAAGCTGAGAATTTGCTATATCGAAGCTCGCTCCAAGAGCTTTAAAATAAGCCAAGTTGCCTCGCGAAAAGTTCTGCCATTACGAAGTTATGGCTCGGACAGCGTTTGCCTAGCGTTGGAGCGCTAGCGTACTAGCGTTGACTCGGGTAGCATTCCGCCGTCGAACCGCGTAGAAACGAAATTCCAGCGAGGAAGGAATTCGCATGAATCAATTGACTATATTCAGGTACAAACAGAGAAGGAATAAATAGCTATAGCTAGCAAGGGCCTTGGGAATCAACCTGGGAACAACCAGGGATGATCCCAAATAATTCCAAGCAACAGAACCAACCTGGCTGGACAAAACAGCAGGTGGTAGGTTGGAAAACAACCTCTGGTTCTGTTTTTCCAACCTGGGAAAACAACAACCAGGTTCAGGTTCTAAAAACAGAACTTGTTTTGTCTTTGCCCAACCAGCCAAATGCTGGTTCTGCTGGTTTCCCCTGGCCTTGTAGCATGCAGATACAGACAAACAACATCCAAACTTCACCTAAATTGTACCCCTATAGTGCCTGCCCTGCTACACTATAGTCAACCAAACAAAACAGTACAATTTCAAGTTGGATAGAACTGAATCTGTGCAATAAATTGAACCGGGTTGCAAAGCTTCCATCTTGGGTTCCTTTGCGAGCTCTTCCTTTCTGCTTGCACTGTTCATAGCGGGTACAATGTTGTGCCGAAGCGCACATTGCGTGAGTACCTGCAAATGCTTCAAACGAAAATTGCGAAAGCAAACAAACACACGAACACACCATTCACACGCAAATGCACTCGCACACGCATACTCGTACAAACAGACGGCAGGATGTCGTGCAAAGTGAATATGCACCCAACACTTACTCTTAGTACCACCCATATGGCTAAGTAACGCACTTACACTTGTCAACGGGAGTTGGGTGTTGGCCCCGTCCTCGCTTGGGTGGAGCCGACTTCGTGGTCGGGTGTAGGGATGCAGCCGACCTGCAGCAGTGGGCGAGCTGGTCGACGAGGTTGGTCGACCTGCACGGGAGCCACTGCAAGGGCGCTGACTTCGGGAAGGCGCCAACTTCAGGGAAGTCGACCTGCGGAGGGCGTCGACTTGGTGACGTCGACTTGGAGCTGGTCGACCAGGGGATAGTGGTCGACCTGGGGAGGTCGACTGGAGGTGGCCGTCGACTTGGGAGGTCGACCGGCACGTACCAGAGGCAGTGGTCGACCTGGGAGGTCGACCGGAAGTGGTCGTCGACCTGGGTGGTCGACGGGCATGCACTGGAGCCTCTGGTCGACCTGGTTGCCCGGTCGACCAGGTTACCTGGGTGACGAGGTGCTGCGAAGGCTTGCGATGGTCGCCCAGGTGGTTTTGGCGAGGACGACCTCGGTGATGGTATCCCGAGGTCGACGTGGTGCATCAGGAGCAGTCGTCAGCACGAAGTTGATGTGGTGTGTGCGTTGTGCAGGTGACGAGGCACTGCACGCCAATCATCTGCGAGCACCTGCGAAGTAGGTGCGCTGCTGTCCTGCGGGAGCAACGTTGGCACGCCGTCGACCTGCAGTGTTGGCAAGCCGCGACTCTGCACTGCTGGAGCGCGGTCGACCAAGTCGTGCTGGCACGCGGTCGACCGTGCTGCGCTGGCAGTCGTCCTGCTTGCATGCTAGCTCTGATGTAGTCTTGCCTTGCCAACTTCATTGTATCATTGTTGTCAACTTTCTCTAGTGAAACTCTTGCCAAATTACCTTGTGAACTAGCAAGCAGTGTGTGCACTAGGAAAACGACTAAGGACCAACGAACGCAGAGATCACACGAGCACCCGTGCCTAGCCCGTAGTCTAGCTCCCGTTGTAGTAGTTACCTCCGCAACACTTAGTACCACCCATATAGCTAAGTAACACACAAACTTCTAGTATACCTCATATAGCTAAGAAACGCACTTACGCTTAGTGCCATTCATATCGTTAAGAAACGCTCTTACTCTTAGTACCACTCAGATTACTAAATAGTGCACACTCATTATACCTCTGATATGGCTAAGTAACGCCCTTACACTTAGTACCACATATATGGCTTAATAACGCACTTACACTTAGTACAACCCATATGGCTAAGTAATGCATTGCTAACACCACTCATATGGCCAAGTAACGCACTTACTTTTAATTCCAATCATATGACTGAGCAACGCACTTACTCTTAGTATAACTCATAAGGCTGAGGAGAGATGTACTATAACGAGTGCTAGACTACGGTCAGGGCACGGGATAGGAGGGATCGCTGCGTTCTGTCATTCCTTAATCATTTCCAAGTGCTCACACTACTTGCTAGTTCACGGGGAGAATTGGCAAGGGATTCACTGAGAAAAGTTGAGAACGATGAGACAATGAAGTTGGCAGGTCGACTGCCAGCGCAGCACGGTCGACCGCGTTCCAGCACGACATGGTCGACCGCGCTCCAGCAGTGCAAAGTCGCGGCTTGTCAACGAAGCAAGTCGACTGCGTGCCAACACTGCAGTTCGACGGCGTGCCAGCATTGCTCCTACAAAACAACAGCGCACCTACTTCGCAGGTGCTTGCAGATGATTGGTGTGCCGTGCCTGATCACTTGCACAGCGCACACACCAAATCGTCCTCGTTCTGACGACTGCATCTGATCAGCCACGTTGACCTCAGGCCACTACCGAGGTCGGTCTTGCCACTACCGCTTTTGCGACTGTCGCACTCCCGCGCAGAACCTCGTCACCCAAATCTGGTCGACCAGCTGCTTCTTCGCGTGCCCGTCAACCACCTAAGTCGACAACCACTTCCACTCGACCTCACCAGGTCGACCTCTCCCGTGGTCGACCGGTTTCCAGGTCGACGACACTTCTGGTCGACCAAACTCCAGGTCAGCCAGCACACCTGTCAGCCGACCACTCCCAGTCGACGCCTCCGATGTCAACCTCGCCATGTCGACCACCCGAAGTCGGCGCCCATGCAGTTCCCCATATGGCTAAGTAACGCACTTACTCTTAGTACCACCCATATTGCTAAGTAACGCACTTACACTTAGTACCACCCACATGGCTAGATAACGCATTTACTTTTATTACCGGTCACATAGCTAAGTAATGCACTTACTCTTAGTACGACTCATATGTTTACTATTAGTACCACTCATATCGCTAAGTATCACACTTACACTTAGTACCACCCATATAGCTAAATAACGCACTTACTCTTTGTATCACTCATATCACTAAAGAACGCACTTACTCTTAGTACCACTCATATGGCTAGGTAAAGCCCTTACTTTTAGTACCAGTCATACAGTATCGCCAAGTAACGCACTTACTCTTAGTACCACCCATATGGCTAAGTAACGCACTTACTCTTAGTACAACTGATAAAGAAAAGAAACGCACTTACTCTTAGTACCACTCATATGGCCAAGTAATGCACTTACTCACTCATGTAACACACATACTCTTAGTACCACTCATATGGCTAAGTGACGCACTTACTCTTAGTACCATTCATATCGCTAAAAAACGCACTTACTCTTAGTATCATCCATATGGGTAAGTAACGCACTTATTCTTAGTACCACTCATATGGCTAAATAATCCACTTACTTATAGTACCACACATATGGCTAAATAGTGCACATACTCCTAAAAAGTCTCATATCTCTACTCTTTGTACCACTCATATGGCTAAGTAACGCACTTATGCTTAGTACCACTCATATGGCTGAGTAACGAACTTACTTTTAGTACCACTCACATGGTTAAGAAACGCACCCACTCTTAGTAACTCTCAGATCACTAAACAACGAACTTACACTTAGTACCACTCACATGGATGAGTAACGCACTTACTCCTAGAACCACTCATATGGCTAAATAATGCACTTACTCTTAGTACCACCTATATGGCTAAGTAATGCTCTTACTCCTAGTTCCACTCGTATCGGTAAGTAACGCACTTACTCTTAGTACCATTCATATTGTTAAGTAACGCACTTACTCTCAGCACCACCCATATCGCTAGGTAATGCACTTATTCATAGTACTACGCATATGGCTAAGTAGCGCATTTACTCTTAGTACCACTCGTCTGGCTAAAAAACGCACTTATAGTTAGTACCACCCATATGAATAATTAACACACTTACTCCTACTTCCACTCATATGGCTAAGTAACGCACTTACTGTTAGTACCACTCATATGGCTAAATAACGCACTTACTCTTAGTACCACCCATATGGCTCAGTAACGCACTTACTCCTAGTTCCGCTCATATCACTACGTAAAACACTTACTCATAGTACCATTCATATCCTCAATTAACGCACGTACTCTTCGCACCACCCATATCGCTAAGTAACGCACTTACTCATAGTACCACTCATATGGCTAAGTAACGCACTTACTCTTAGTACCGCCCACATGGCTATTAACGCACTTACTCTTAGTACCACTCGTATGGCTAAGTAATGCTATATGCCTGAGTAACACGTTTCCTCAAAGTACCACTCATATCGCTAAGCAACGCACTTACTTTTAGTAGCACTTATATGGCTAAGTAAAGTACTTACTCACAACACCACTCATATGGCTAAGTAACGCACTTACTCCTGGTACCACTCATATGGCTTATTGACACACTTTCTCTTTGTACTACTCATATCGCTGAGTAACGCACTTACTCTTAGGTACCATCTATATCGCCAAGTAAAGCACTT